ATTCACCGACAATTTATGTTTTGTTTAAGTTTTAATACTTGTTTGTGGATTAAATGTCAGTTAAAAATAATAATATTGTTATCAGAAAAAACGGTAAATCAGTTATAATAGTACTCAATCCGAAAAAAAAATTTTTTTTTTGATCACTAATTGTTTTCTCAACAAAAAAAAAATTATGAATTTTATTATATGTTTTCAAAACTATTGCATTTTTATATAATAATTTTGTTTTTATAAATATGTTATCTAACACTTTTGTCTTATTTTTTTAAATTATGTTTTTTGTTAGTTTAATATTGATTGTATAATATATATATATATATATATTGAAAATTCTAATAGTAGCATAATAGTTTGTTTAAAACTAGAATATTCTAGCAATAATACTCTAACATTTCAATAACAATTTTCTATTCATATATATATGGTTTTAGTAATATTTTTATTATTGCAAACAATAGCAATTTGTTGAATATAATTGAATGCAATTATCATAGAAATTAATGATTAGCTTCAATATCAATAAATTTTTATATCTATTACTATTTTTCATTCAAATTTAATTATATCTGTCTTTTTTATCCCATTTTATTATATTGTCTTATACACTATAATATATATACAGTATACATAAATGACATTAACATATATAAAATGTAAATTGCATTTTGCCCTACAATTAGCAAAATTGAAAATTGTTGTTCAATATTATTATTATTATTATTATAATGTCTAAAAATTATTAAATAAAACATGTTATCTTTTTATTATACTGTCGCTGTTTAATCTTAAACTATGAATATTTTTTATATAAAAAATTTTATTAATAAATTATTTTTTTCTTTGTTTCAAGTTTAATGTTTTTTGAAATATTTTCAAATAAATTATAAATTTAAATTAACAATAATCAATATACTAGTGCATTTTATTCAAAAATAGATGGTAGTTTAATTTATAAAATTTATCATGGACAAGTTATCAATAATAATCAACAAAATAATGATAACATAGTTAGAAGAAATAAATAATTAAAAAAATTGTTATACTTATCAACAACTTATTTGTATATAAAAAATAATTATAGTTTCAAATTTTGTTTTAAATTTGTTGAGTACGAAAAAAATTACAAATTATTAAACAATCAATTTTATTTATTAAATTATATACTGTATATATATACACACACAACAAAAAGTTATTAATAATAATAAACTCAATACATCATCAAAAAATATTTATATATATATATATCATGTAATATACTGTAATAAATATAAATAATAGTCTTAAAAAAGTAATATGATATTATATAATCACTGAATGTCAATTATATCTATTGTTAGGCAAAATAACTGCATATATATATACAAAACAAAACAAAAATTATTTGATAGATAATACAGTACAGTATATTAAAGTCAACTACTTTTACTGGTAATTTTATTGCCAAAAATGTTGGACTATTATCATTGATATTATATGTCCACTCATATTACTAAAGAACATATTACTATATTCTGTGTGTATATTATATTGTAATGTACAGAATATTCTGGTGTGTGCTGTATGTATGCCAATGCCTATGTATGTACTGTATATGTATGTATGTATGTGTGTGTGTGTGTGTGTTATATCAATTCAATTCAACTGTAGCACACATTCACTCACTCAATACTTATCTTAAGTATGGGAAACATCATATACTGTATATAATAAATGTGTTGCAAATAGTGACTAAATTGTAATATCAGTGACTGTTGGTATATACAACAACAACAATAAAAATAGGTTAAGTTTTGTGTTATTGTATTTATTAATGAATAAAAACAAATAAAAAAAAATTTAAAAAATTGCTTCAGATATATGACTACTAGTTTATGATGATATCAAATTTTAATATAGACTTTATAGATATTATAGAGTATGTGTGCGACAATCCTAAACATTTTAACATTATTAATAATAGGGAAAAAAATCTCCCGGTGCTCTCTCTAGATGTCTTCAATCATAATAAAATTTATGTGTTTTTTTGTTGATTTGATATATTCATTACATTCGTACAAATTATTATCATAAGTAATAGTAATTTAGTCAAAAAAATGTTATTAATAATAATAAGTTAAAATAATAAATATATATATAAATAATAATATTAATAGATTTTATGACTAACTTTCTTATGTATCTCAAATATATTACTTTACTGTAAATGTATTAATATGTTTGTTTGTATTTTTATTTTATTATAAAACATATTTCGTGCGCTAAAATAGTTCAAGTAATAAATATACGTATATTTTCATTTATTATAATAATTATTATTATTAATAGTATGATATTAATAATAATGATAATAGTAAGCATAACTAATAAAAAAAAATTTAAAAATTAGTAATTTATTATTTTTCTAAAACGGTTTATAACATAGAAATCATTATAACATTATACCTGTATTACTAATAATAATAATGTGAAAAACAACTATATTTTATTGATATGAAATTTGAGAACAGTTTTATTTTTATTTTTATTTAGTTATGTTTTTCATTATAAACTTACATTAAATGTGTCAAAAGCATTATAAGCGTAAATAAACATTAATTACATGAATAATATGTGAATAAATATACTGTATATAATATAATATTTATAAATGTATTGTATTTTACTTTATCATACAATAATATATAATACAGAATTTATTATTATTATTAATAATACTAATAATAAGTGTATAAAAATATATATATTGTTTAACTTTACATTTAACAAAAAAAATCTCTTATAATATAAATATCAATCGATATTATATATTTTTCAATGATAATCTAAACATAATAATAATAATATATGCACTTAAACTGATGATATCTCATCAACAAAAATAAATATTAATAGAAATGTTCAAGTGAATTTATACGTGGAAAAAAATATTTATAACACAAAAAATTGGTAAATATTTTATTTTGCTAATTATTTTTTTACAGGAATAATATTACAATATTAATAAATTAAGTATAAGTACTTACTATATAAGCAGATATAAAGTTTTGTTTGTTTGTTTGAACAGTGAAAATAGTAAACAATTATTATTTAGCGTTAATAATAATATATTATTAAACTAAAATTGAATATTTTATCAAGTACAAAATTCTCTATAATAATAATAATAATAGAAAAATTATATAATTACTTCTTTTAATAATTGACTTCTATAAACAATACAACAAAATAATTTTATTATTAGTTTGTAATATTCTAACAGAATATTCTGTTAATTAATATACTAATAGTGTAATAATAATTTTTTTTGAGTAAAATTCCTAACATTTTATTATCCCCTAACATATTAATTGCAATTCCGTTTAATAAATATTTTTTTTGGCTGCAATTAAATGATATATAAATAATAATAATAATAATAATAAATTTTATTATTAGTAGTGACATAAAAATTATAAGTACTAAACTTAAACTAATAATATATTGAATATAAAAAATAATATATTAATTTTATTATTATTATTATTATTATTATTATTATTGGGAGCATTGGTACTGTAGTAGTAGTTGTTGTAAATCTTAGGTAGTAGTGGACAGTTATGTTCAACTCGTCTCTCTGGTCGCACGAACGCCAGGAACGGGTCAAACGACAGCGCAGTGCCGAAGCTGCAGCCGAAGCCCTTACCATCGGTGTCGATGTGGTCAGTGGTGGTCAGTTACGACCGTCATCCGAGTCATCGTCATCATCAACGGGTCGTATGAACCGATTGTTCCTGTTTTTAGCAATGGTTTTCATTGTATTAGTCGTCGGACTAATTGTGGCCACTATTTGTGATTTTTATAATTGGTAAAAAACTTTATTATTATTTTTTTGTTGTATAGTTTTGTTTAATTTGTTAAAAATAAACAAAATTACAACAACAACAGTAATTTCTACATTCAACTATACATTTGACCATGATCATTATTACCACTATTATTATAATTATGATTATTATTGTTTTAAAAAATTAATTATTAAATTATATAATAATGTACACACATATCTATTAATTATTGTATCATTAATAAACTTTTTGTTTTTTTTTAAAATATATATTTTTATCATTTATTATCACTTCTATTTATTTATTATCATTTTTATTATCATAATTTATATTTTATGAATTATATATATATATATATACAACTAAACTATATTTATAATTATAAAAACAAAAATTTAATCATTAAAGAAAATTTTAATTATAGTACATAATATAAATTATTATTAATTAAATCTGATGTTTAGTTTAAAAATAAATTAAATTACTAAATTAAAATTAATTAAATTAGATTATTTTTTCGTTTTTGTTAAAATTTATATTAAATTTATTATTAATATATATATAAATTATTTTAATTATTAATAATTTTAATATAATAATAATAATAATAATAATAATAAATATACTGTAAATAACTAAGTATTAATAATAAAAATTATTTATTTAAATGTACGTAATTTATTTAAGAACCAAAATTATGACTATGTCACTTTTTTCTAAATAATAATAATAAAATACCATTACGTCACTGTAATAATAATATCACTATAAAACAATTCGATTATATTTAAAACCAAAACAATAATGACCGCCCACTATGACACAGTAGTTTATGTATATGCGCATAATATTAGTGTTTAATGCTAAAGGGGCGGAGTTTTCATAAAGCATAGACTAATATTAAATTATACTATTTTATTAGTATATATATATATATATTATGTGTAATCTATGATAAGTCTATGTACTTATGTGGTACGTCTACTATTGTTTTGGTTTTGAATATTATCGAACAGTTATTTTATATACTATACATTTATACTGTATATATCGTTAGTTGCGTTAATAAAACGTTTTGATATATACAGAGTTTTTAGTCGTCAGCCATTACATAGACATTGTGTTTACTATTTATATATATATATATATATATATATAATATTATCGTTTTATTGAGTGTTAAAATCGAATGTTAAAACGTTTTTTTAGTTAATCGAATTTTTTACGATTTCGAATGATTTTATTTTTTTAACTTATTATTTATATATATATAGAAATAGAATCGACAAAAAAAATGTATAGTTTATAGAGTGCTCTATAGTTAGAGTTAAAGTCGAAAATTTTTTTTATATTTTAATTAGTCCTATATATTGATATATATATAAATGTTGTCTATAATGGCCGCGACTAATACCAAGTAATAACACATCCACACAACACTAGTGTTGGATTGTTGTTATTACTTTGAGTTTAAATTAGTTCGTGTATTCAATAGATAAATATAGTGTTGTATTGTCTATTTGTGTCTCTAAGTCCCCCTCAAATACAAACCATTCACTTAAACTAAAATATCATTACATTATATATATTGTATTCAATGTATTATTAATTGAATAAAAAAAATAAAAAAATAATAATAATATGTCTATAGTTTGTGCACTAAAACGAGTCAAATGTTGTGATCAGCAAAACGTCAATCAGTTTAGTATAATAGTACTCAACCAGAGAGACACCAATCAGGTATGTGGGGGTCGACAACAATGGAGGGGTAGTCACTGACAGACATATGATATCTATTTAAAAAAAACTATAAACTAACTGTCCATCTATTCTTCCCTCCCGACCGATGACCACAACTGACCACTGCCGACGACGACTACGCAGTTATACATTGGCCGCGACATTGAATGCCATTATCGTATAACCAGTATTGAGATCAGCCGTAAACACGCACTGATCGAGCGGTCAACGGACAACACGTGGACAATATCCGATCTCAAGGTATAGTCATACACACACCCAACCACCCACTCATTACATAATTATAAACTGATCCACCACTTGTTGGTCACTCCGATACTAACGCAGAGTACTAACGGTCTGTTTGTAAACGCTGTCCAATTGGTGTCGCATAACCCGTACCGGTTGACCAAAGGCGATCGGGTATCGTTCGGACCGCCACAACAGTCACAGTTTTGTTATCAATTTGTTGATAATTTACATCCCGAAAGGGCGCACTTGTCCGGCGCCACAGCTTTCGAATTGGCTTCAGTTCCCGTTATACCGATTGTCACCCGTATCCAGACATTGACGGGCGGCAGTTCGTTGACGACCACCAATACGTTGCGTTTCGATATCGACGCCAATCAGAGCCGAACCATTTCGGTAATAATGCTCTTACGGGCCATTAGTTACGGCTTTTTGTTTTAAACAATTTATTCAATTCAACTTAAAAAAATAGTTGACCACAAGTATGCCGACCACCCGAAGCGGCATTAAGTATAGCTTATCGACTTCGAGTCCAACACCGAAAATGTCACTCGTGACGTCAGCGGTCAGTAGTGGCTCGTTGGGTATCAGTGGTGGACACAAGAGACGCGAAATTGTTTCTCATAGGTCAGTAACTCCGCCGACTGCGGCCACACCTAGAGGTAGAGGAGAGCGTCAGCAGCACATTGAACACGACTACTCAATGAGCGCCCAATCGACGGATCATCGCAATACTGGCCGCCATAGTCGTCACCATAGCGGCAGCGTTATCATAGGCAGTGGCCGCAAATCGCGTAGCGGTGTCACTCATTTGCGATTCAAAGACAGCACTGGTGTCCACAACAAAAACATCGGTACGACTATTACTACCGGTAATACTAAAGTGGCGAAAGTTAGTGAAGTCGAACGGAAACGATTCGATAAAGAGCTGAAACGTTTGGAAAAGTCAAAGAAATCGCTGGAAGAGCGCAAAGAGTCGGAACTAATGAAGATTAAGTCGAAAGAAGAGTCGCTAAGGAAAAAGCAGAAAGAATTGGATCGCAAACAGCGTCTACTCGAACGTAAGGTACGGCTGGCCCGCGAAAAGGATGCCGAAATTAGACGCATTAAAGCCGAACTCAAGAGCAAAGAGAAACAGTTGGCCGCTGTCGCCGCCAGCACCGCTTCCTCGACGGCCGAAAAGTCCAAAAGTCGACAGCACTCGACTGACAACAATACAAAATCGGCCAACACTCGGGTCAATAAGCGTCATCGTAGCGACGATACCAGGAAACCAGTGATGGAAGAAGATATTGTAGACATTACTGACGATTTGCCGCCGCCGTCGCCACCAAAAGTGGTTACCGCCGCTTCTGATTGTCTGGTGATGACCGCCGCCACTACCGTTGACGATGACACCGGCTTCGAGAGTGAGATAACGTGCAGTATATGTCACGAATACTTTATACAGGCTGTCAACTTGAACTGTTCGCATACGTTTTGCTTGGCCTGTATTGAAGAATGGAAGACCACTGGTGGCCAACAAACTGGTGGAAGCGGCTCAGGACCCATGTGTCCGATATGTCGGGACGAGATTGTCAACCAGAATCGCGAACTAGTATTGGATAATTTGATCGATCGATTTGTAGGCAAACGACGGCCAAAACTGGTCGAACATCGCAAACGATTGGCCGAAGAGCGTCGCAAACGATTGGCAGAGATGAAGTCGTCGTTACCGCCGCCGCCACAGCCATCGTTGACCAGTGGTAGCCAACACCACGCGACCAACAATAATAGGGCGATACCCAGATTAGGTATTTTAACCCATTATCTGCGCTTAAGATTTTCATTAATCAATAATCGGAATCCTAACCACACTATTCGCAACAATAATCAGAATACCGGTAATTGATTACCGGGTTCTGTATATCTCATTACACACACACACACTATTCGTTTCATTTTCTTGTTATTATTATTGAAATCATAATTTTTTTTTTAAATGTGTGATAAAAATAGTTGTTATAAATTTACATTAATATTATTATTGTTAGAATTATCTTTATTTTTGTTAATTGATTAGATTTTTAAAATTATTTTTTTTAATATAGTATTTCCATTGTTTTATTTTTTTGTTTATTGAATCAACAGATTTAATATAAATAATCACTAATCGTTTTTTCAAAAAAAAAAAAAAATTAAGTATTTCATTCATTAGATTACAAAACTATTTTTTCATATATTATTCAACACTTTTCGTCTCATTTTCATTTAATTATGTTTTATTTGTGTTTTTTTTTATTTTAAAAAATTTATCATTACTTAATCATCAGATTTTCTCGAAATGTTTACCAAAATATTTGAGATGAAAAACTTAATAAACAAACATATTTTGATTGATATATGATATGTGAATATACAAAGTTTATTAACGATTTTCTAACGCTTATAATATGTTAAATATTAAATATGTAGTTATATTACAGAGAGAGAGAGAGAGAGAGAATATGTTATTATTTCGTAAATATAATAATAGCTTTGTATTATAAATTATATCAGCAATTATTGTTTAGATATATTATTAGAGAGAAATGTTTAAAATTAAAACAATTTATAAATATTACAGTATATATAGTTATAGATATCAACAGTTAGGGAGAGCTCTCATTATATGTGTTTTCAACAAAAATATATATCAATTTATATTTATTATTGTTTTAAAAATAATATATAAACTTAGAGTACTATCTATACATTATGTAATACCAATTTCTATATACATGTATACTATATGTTTTATTTAACTTAACTGTATATTTATATTATAATATAGGTTTAAGTGGTTTAGGAGCGTCGGTACATCTGTTTTTGCGCAACCATTTTGGCAGCGGATCCGACGATTCGGACTCCGATATGAATATCATTGACTTGAACTTTACCAATGACTTTGTCAACTCTAGCAGCAGTAGTAGTAGCAGCAGTGGTAGTAGTGATGAAGATTCGTCGTCGTCGTCATCATCGGCGGAGTCGACATCGTTGGCCGATTTGACGTTCAACAGCGGTGTCCGTCGTAACGACATCGGATACAACGACTCTAGCGATAGTGATGACGATGATAACGATGCGGCCTCACTGTCCGATCTGCATATAGCCACCGATAGTGACTCTTCGCTGTCTACGTTGTCGAGCCTGAGCTCTGGCGACAGCAGCGATGATGACAGTAGTAGTAGTGATTCAGACTCGTCTGATGATTCATCAGATGATGATAACGACTCTGATAATGATAATAATAATGATAACAATTCTAGTGATGATAATGAAGAAGACATGAACAGCGATAGCGATGACAACAATGGTAACAGTAGTGATGGTGAGGATGAGGAGGACGACGATATGTAAGAGACATGCAATACATACACAGGTTTTGATTTACTGTTAGAAACAAACAAACAAAAAATTTTATTGAAAATATTAAGAGCGAAAAAAATTCAATTATTTAATTAATTAATAAATCTTTTTTATATATATATTAATACAAGAATATTATCTATCTATCTATATATATATGTCTAATAAATTTTATTCGATTTTTTTATTAATAATTATTATTTCTTGTATTTTTTTGTATCAAAATTTCTTAATTATTCAAAATTCAAATTTTTCTCTTCAAAATTATTTCAAAATTCAATTTAAAAATTTAATTCAAAAATTTAATTCACTACTACTTTAAATATATTTTTTTGTGTTTGTGTGTGTGTTTTGTTTTCAAATTAATTAGTTATTTCATATTTAAGTGTTAAATACTGTGTATATTATTAAATTCATTTATTTTATTTTATTAATTAATTGAGAAACAAAAATCACACTTTTTTTTGTATTATTATTATTATTACCATCGAATCGGATCAATCAAAACAGTGCCATTGATATGATGATGACCACACAAATTGATAAATATTGATAGTATTTTTGTATATACATTAACTTTATATACTGTATGTATGTGTGTGTGTATAAGTTTGTATATATATATATATTGTATATTATTTAGGGGGAACTGGTGGTATTATATTTAAACACACACCCACCCACTCACCAGTGACGGGTACTTATATTATATATATATATACAGGAGTCCTAAAAATGAAAAAATGATATCAAAATTTTTCACACAAACAATTGGTGTTTCAAAATTGGGAAAAATGATTTTTTTTTTTTAAATTTTAATCAATAGTTTCACATATATATGTTATTAATATATACAAAAAAGGCAATAAAATCATCAGAAAAAATGGTTTGTTAAATAAACAGTAGATATATATGACTAATACAGTGATATAAATGTTATGTAATATGCTTTTAAAAAGTTGGTTGATAATAATGTTTGTGAGTTTTTTTTAAATTGAAGCAAAACGCGTTTTTTTAATAATTCAATTATCAAAACTTTTTTTTATAGATATATATATGTTTAACTGCAAACTAAATAGATAAAAATAAACCTAAATTATTATTTTTTCTGTATTTTAAAAATAAAATTAATAATAATAAACAATATTTATTTTTTTCTCCTTAGCTCTCGATTATTATAAAATTATTTTTTTTCAATTCATTAGATGTATGTTTCGACAAATATTTTTTAATTATCTTTGAAATCCAAATAATAATTTTTTCCGGCAAATAAAAGATACTAAAATAATAATTAATATTTTTTTTATATATATAATTAATTCATTTAAAATATCTAGAAAAAACACATATAAATAATAATTATATTATATAATCACTAAACTACTACAAAATAATAATTATTTTAATAAAAATTAATTATTTTTCTTCTTTTTATCATCATTTTTGGTGGTCGTCAATGTATTACTGTTAGCCGCGGCTTCATTATCGGCTTCTACTACTTCACCACCACTACCATCGGTAACAGCAGCGATGGCAACGTTATCGGTACCGCCAGCGGCCGCAATATCATCGCCGCTAATGCCAAACTCGTTGACACGGCTGTGATCGACCCGATAGATCCAACGTTGGTAGAGAAATATCAGGAATATGATGTCGTCACGGAAACAGCCCAACCGATACATTGTCGGCATTTTGATAACAAAAGCGAATATGTCGTCGATGAACGTATTGAGAAACTTGTAGGTCAACATACGCCAGGGCAAGTGGGCCACACTCTTGAGTTTATAATTGATAAACAGTTGCGGTGTCATCATTATAAAGCCTATTTAAGTGGTGGGGGGACAGGGAGAGAGAGAGAGAACCCGTTAGAAAGGTTGTTAGATAATAATAAACAGGTGTATTCAAAAGCATAGGTATATACTGACCAAACGTTAGTAAAAAGCCGTAAATCATGTTCAATGTGAATGAATACCAGCCCTTGTGTTCATTGTATAGGAGGGAATACACGGAATAACCGACCAATAGTGGAAATAATGCCCACGAAAGGTATTTGAATGCCAGCTATAATAATAACAACAAAACAGTTTTTTTAGTTAAGGTATGTAAATGTGTAATAGTAATGGACAGGTAGGTAGGTGTGTGTGTAACAAATTACATACAAGATCGTACTGTCGAGTGGACGACTCGACATACGAGCCCTTATCGGTAAACCAGACGCGCGGAACTAAACCGAATAACTTGTTCTGGAAGTTTACTTCAATGTTGATGACTTTCTTGATCTTCCACAACTCAATTAGTAGGCCAATGCCGACACTAAATCGGATGATCATATTGGTGTCGTTGTCCAATACATACAATAAGACGATTACCGATTGGAATACGTTGAAGAATACCGACCGTACGGACAGACCTTCCAGCGAACGACGATTCTTCCAGAACTGTATGTCTGTTTAGGGTTTTAAAAAAATCACAATAAATGGCATTATTGGGACAGTTGTAAAAAAACAGGTAACAGTTGATAATTATAGAGGTATATACCGTTTTTGAAGGCCAAAAACTCGAACACACTGTGCGTAATCGATACGAGCACTGTTAGGCCCAACAGTATGGGCGATGTTTCCAGGAATGTCTCTTTTAGTAGATCCTGTTCGTCATCTTCCTGTTCCATTAGGTCGGAGCCCATGAACGACGTCCAACGGGAACGCATGGCCTGTGCAGTGTACAGTTGCCAGCGAAACATCGATAACGGCTGATATGTTAGATGTAAGTTGATTTTGCTATTAAAAACATTACCGGTAAATTTTTAAAAACCTGTATAACCCCCCCCCTCCCTCCCATAAATTAGTTGTGATCACATCATTTACTTACTCGACAGTATCATTGATGGGCATATAGTCGCGCATTAGATTCCAATAGTCGTTGACATAGACTATCGGATAGTATTTACCGGTTGTCGGCTCGAATTCGACAAACTCGTCCAACGGTACGGGTACTGAACCCCTGACCCACGGTGTATGGTCATCGATGATGTTGATGGTCAGATTGGGATGCCAGTGGGACAGTATCTCTTGTTTGATGTTGGCCTCGACTTTTGTTTGCTCCTCTAGGGTGGCCGATGTCTCCCCTGTTAATAGGTTATGCGTTTTCTTATAGTAACGTTTCTTATATCTGTTCAACTGTTGGCGCTTATGGATGGCAAACGATGAATACTGTTTCGATGGATAGGGCGTATGGCCTGACTTTGTCACATAGATATGTAGCCATAGAGAACCATTATTTTGGACCCTCTATATATATATATACACCGGTAGTGATAAAAACAATTGGTTAGAGAGGAGATAGAGGTAGGTATGGGAGGTTTGCTATATATACTGTATATACAGTTATCATACCGGTGTCAGTGAAACGGTAACATCATTGGTATAGATGCCGTCACCGGTTGGTCCCGATGTCCAATCGCCATAGACGAGACCCTTTTTCATCCAAACCAACTGTCGGCTATCGTCAAAGTCAGGTCTAACCTCTTCCTCGCAAATGTATAGATAAAGATCCTAAATATATACAAATAATAATAATAATGAAACTATAAGTTAAATACAATACAATTGAAACAAATGTGTTTTCATTTAATTAATTTGTTTGTTATTTAAATTGAATAAAACTTGTGTATAAATGTTTTGTTTAAAAACATTTGTTTAATATATAATATATAATATATATTATATATACTGTATATGAAATTGTTATAAAAAAATATATTCAACTAACTAATAATTGTTACCGTAATAAAAATACATATACAAATTGAATCTAGCTAAACAAAAATCATCTAGCTAATAAAAAAAAGTCAACTACAAAAAAAACACAATATTATTACTACTATATCATAATTATTATAACTATTGTAATCACTTGTATCAATCATATATTGAAAAATAAATAAAATCGATATACAATTAATTGTCAACAAAAAAAATCATTGACACTAAACACATGGTATGGTTTGCAATTACAGTATATCATATATACATCAACCATATAATGACTAAGCATTTAGTGATTGTTATCTATCTCTCTGTCCCTAATTATGACATCCATTTTTGTTCAAAGAGGGACAGCCATACTATCAAATATCATGGCCACAACACATACCATAACAGTGCCGTTCGGAAACAGATTGGACGATGCAATGGCCGGCTTCATGTTCGGTCCGCCGTCGGCGCCGGGAGTCTGTTGCGGTGGTGTTGACTTTCCGCGAAAAAACGACGTAATGAAGTAAATGATAAGCGCCCGAAATATCAGTCCCTGGGCTACTGACCAGAATCGGGAGCCTATATATCATATATGGTTTGGGTTATTAAAGAGATATATAATCACATATCGGATCTTCATTTATCATATATGATATCTGAGACACACAAACCTTGTGGCTGTGGTGGTGGTTGTTGTTGTTCCAGCTGTTGTTGGCCATCGCCGACGGCGGCGCCAACCACTTGTTGGCCATTCTGCGGGTAAATTAAATTTTAATTTTGATTAATATCTAGATCTCAATTGGTTGGTCAAAACTCGTGAGGAGCGTTATATATAATGGCCAATAACAACAACACCGTTTGGTTACTAACCTCACGGGCGGTGGCGGCGGTTGTATTGTCATTATCGGCAGCAGTACCACCGCCACGCCTTCTGGCCACTTGATCGGGCATAACGTGTGTCTGTATGTATATGTGATGTCCTAATGATTTGTTTCCTCTCTCTCTCTCTCCACCCGTCAGTGGATGGCAAGTGACCAGTGATTTGTGTGCGGCGTCGGTATTATTATTATTGTTGTTGTTTTGGTCAACACTTTTCCGGTGGTCAATGATATTACAGTTTATATCATATATTAATAATTAATTTGTTTATTAAACGTAATTATTATATAAATATTAAAATACAATACATATTATTATTAACAATACATTATTACTATTATATATACCAATAAAATACACTTAAAATTTATTTTATTTTTAATACAAATATTACATTACTTTTTTAATACCAAATATATTACACATTGCATAGTAAATACAATCAATGTGTTTCTATGTGTGTTTGTTTATATACAAATGTTGTCGACGCCATAGCGTTAACCATATATCTGTTGTTGCACTAATATATATTGTTAGTAATATGAAAAGGTACTAATTGGAATACTTTACATCTATATAAACTATTGGACCTTTTTTCTTATTATGCTTAAATAGTTTTAATGTATATCTTCTCCATGTATATAAGTTATAAACTGTATGTACGTTTTTTTTGTCAGCTGCATTTGTGGTTGCAGTGCATGGCCTGTATATACATTGTTTTTTTAGTATTACATTATTAAAGCAAAAGTTTAAGTTAATAGTAATAATAATGTAATAAAAAAAATATTTATTTTTTTTTTGGTGAATCACTGGTTGCATAGTATAGTGACTAAACGTATAGGTGTTTAATGCATATAATTAAAACAAATAATTAATTAATTAGTTAACAATTTTATCATAATTAACAATAGAAAACATTTTTTTTATTTTTAAAATTTACAATGTAAAATATTAGTAATTATCAGGGTTTTAAATATGGCAGGCATAAACAATAGATGCCTATTACTATGATTTTATATTATTTATTTATTTATAAAACATTGTTTTATCTATATATTTGTTTTGTATACCTTTAATTAAAAGGTAATATCATTGGAAATAATTATATTAATTGTAAATTTAATTAACACGCTAAAAACGTAAATTACATTTTATTTTTATAAATACAGTTGCTTTTTAGCAATTTAATGTGGCAGGCAAATAAAATAGATGCCCAAAATGCCATGCATTTATGGCATCTATTTGGGCATTGAAAGGCAGGCATTTATTTAATTAAAACCCTGGTAATTATATACAGTAGTTATTTAAATAAACATTTTTTAATAATATGTTTTACTATAATATTATTATTATTAGTAGTAGTAGTAACTTATTAAAGTAAAGTAAATTAATTAATTTATTATTTCAACATTCTAGGCATTATAATAATTTTTAAAAAAATATATTTTTAATATTAATAGTAATAAATTTTTTTTTGGTTCAACATATAATATAAAAAAACTTTATTAATATTTATAATATAAGTTAAATTGAAAAGTGTTGCCATTTGATAGTTAAAAACAATTTTATTAAAATTTTTTAAGCATTTTATTTAAATATAGTCTCTTTTTAGCCTATATAATAATAGTTTTTAAATAAAAAAAATTGTTTTTTTTTAATTAGTTTCAAACTTTTGTTTAAAAATGTCATTACGATTAGTAAACAGTATTTTATAACCCAAAGTATTAAGAGATAATACCCACTGATATTCATAAAACATATATCCATTGATATATCAATTTATATATACATTTTTTAGTCACACATTTGGCCGAAACATTTCAAGTCGTCTACAAGTGTTAACCGTATCGTCGGTATACCTGATTCCTCCTCCTCTGGAGACAACCATTTTGACTGTCTATCCGCCATAGAATAGACTATAATAATCGTAATAATGTTTTATTTTAATTACAATTATAAATATTTTTAAAAAAAACTTTATATATATATAAAAACAATTTTTTTAATGATTAGAAAATTAATTAACTATTGAAAAATATAAGCATAAAAATCATTTACATAAACCTAAATAAATCTTAATAAATAATTATGATTTTTAGAATTTTGATATAGGTAGTTTTTTATAACAAAAAAAATATTATTTTTTTAATTCAATTAATTTCATAAATTATTGTATTTTCTATTTCTATTAATTATTTTCTTTTTTAAAATAAATACTATTAATATTGAACATTTAATACTGTATAATACAATAATTAAATATTATATTACAATAGCATAACAATTACTTGTAGTTTTAATTTATTTTTTGTTTTATTTTATTTTACAAATTAATATGTTTATATAATGATTATTTTTTTACTTAATAATTTCAAACTTATAAGTTATAACTTATAATAATTAAAAATAAAGTATTTTTTTTGATAATTTTTAACAAAATTATAATTTTAAAATATTAGTATATCATTACATTTTGTTGTTGTTGATTTTGTAGTTGTTGTTGTTGTTATGATTATTGTAAAATTTATAAATATCAATGTAAAATATTTTAGTTAAACTATCAATGTTATATTTGCTTATTTAGTGAAAATACTGTACATAAATTAATAATATATTTAAATTTTTTGATATATAAAAATTATGGTAAGTCAATAATTTTATTAATATATTTATACTGTATTTTAATTATTAAATAGTTTATAATTTACTAATTATTAGTATATTTCAATAGTTAATAAAAAATACTACTGTAGTAATAAAATTTTAATCTGTTTTTAGATATTGAATAGATTTGTAAAAAAAATTTCTAATAAATATGAGAATTAAAAGTTCAAGTGATTTAAAGCTACTAATAATTTGCTTATAATTAACTCAATAATTATTTTTTTTAAAAATAAAATTTATTTTTCTATAATATTTTTAATCAGTTATTAATATTATAACATATATCATATTATCTACTTAATAGATTTTATAGTAATATTAATAGTTATTTAATTTTATTATTATTATTATTGAGATAATATTTTTGTTTACAAATTAGTTAAACCATTATATTATATGCATATACACAGAAAAATTAACATTTTAATTATTTTTTTTGTAATTAAATTATTTAAGTATTAATAATTTATAAAATATTTCTAAATAATTAACAATATTTGTTGCCAACAAAATATTAAGCAAGTTAATTATAATATAATAAAAATAAGCTATTTTTAAAAAATATTAAATTGAAAATTAATTTAAAATATTAAAAGTTTTGATAACAAGTTTTTTTTTAAAATTTTGTATTTATTATAATTGTAATTGTATAATTATAGAGTATGTATTAATATATTGATATATATTATTTAATTATATATATATATTTAATATTTTAATTAATCATGCATAGCATTTTTATTAATGATACGTAAAATTTTTTATTAGTTTTTATAGCATTTATAATAATAATTAAAAATTCATCAATTTATTTACAGTTTAGTTTCTATATGTGTTAAAATAAACATTTTAAAAATTAAAATAATAAGACAATTAGAGTAATTTATTATCAATTGTGTGTTACATTAATTTTTAAGTACACAGATTTTTTTTTAATAAAAAAATAGTAATAAAAAATGTTATATATTTTTAAATTACATTACATTTTATATTATATTAATATATGATTATAACCTAACAATAGGCGATAGCAATGCATCGACAGGTGTGTTAGAGAAATCAATTGTGTGAACAGTAATAATATAATGCTTATTATTAACTGAATTAATATTATATCTAATTATGTTTTCATATCATTATTAAGTATTGACTTATTATTAAATATATATTTTATATATATATATCAAGAATTTATCAATTATATTTAATAGGGATTTAATAGATTTATTAATAATTTTAATAATTTAATTAATTAATTTAGGGATTAAATACAACAACAACAACAAAAATTAAATACATTAACTTAATTTTTTTTTTAATATTGGCTATTAATTTAATAAAATAAATACTATATTATTTATATTGTTTGATCCAAAGTATTAAAACTAATAAAATTTATAAAATGTAATATAATTACAAAATTATTTTTATTATAATATCTAGAGTACAATAGTAAAAGTCAAAATACTAATAATGTTATCTTGATAATTTAGCATGCTAACATAACATGATACATTATTTAAATAGTATTTTTTTATTTGAAAAATTAATAAGAAAAATTAAATAATAAAAAACATTTAAAACTATTTATTTGTCATAATTAGTTTCTAAGTAAAGTTTAGGTAATTTTCAATTGAATATATAAAATACTATAGAATTACAACAATGTATTTCAAAAAATATTTAAACAGATATATTAATAGTTTATTTTGGGTAAACAACACAAATTGAAAAAAACAGTTATATACTGTATTTTATTATTATTATTGTCAAACAAGCAATAAAATTGCAATTTTATTTATATAAAAATAAAAATTTCATAATAACTATATTACGCACATTTGATAAAACAAAAATTTCTGCACAAAAAATTGTCATCAATTTTCAGACTTTGATATTAGTCACTATAATAATAATGTTTTAAGTTTTTTTAAAAAATAATTAATTTATTTCAAAACAGATATTATATATATATTATATTAATATACATTTGTATTGATGTCATACATAATTGACAATAGATATAACTATATATATATACCAGGGTTAAGTAAGGGGGGGGGGGGGGGTAAGGCCAAAATACCCCCCCCCTAAGATCGAGAAATTGGGATTTTACCCCCCAGACTTTTTTACCAAATGGGAAAAATTGTCGCTTAAAAACGAGGAGAAATGACCCCCCCCCCCCTAAAATTTCGGCGCCGAAGGCGCCGAAAATTTTTTTGAGATTTATAAAAATTTTAATTTTAGTTAATACTATTTTAGTAAGTGTTTTTATGTTTTTAAAATTTATATGATTCTAATTATTGATTAAAAATAAGTAAAAAAGTTAAAATAACGTTAAAACTCATCAAAAAATAACATAATTTTACTTAAAATATTAAACTAAAAAGTTAAAAAATACCAATTTGTTGAAAAGAATAATCATATTACAATATAAATAGAAGTTTGAGATAGTTTAAGAAGTTAATAAAAAAATAAATACTTATATTACAAGGTTTTTATTAATAATTTTTAAAATTTTAACTAAAAAATTTAAAATATTTTTAATTTTATAATTAGTATTCAATCAGTATTTACATAAAAATAACATTAAAAAATAAAAATATATATCTATAAACTATAAGCATTAAGTATTATTTAAAAAATTATTTTAAAAGTTAAAAATTACTAAAATACTAAAAAACTCAGTGTATCATTAATGCCTTTATCACCTATTTTTAAGTATTTAATACATTATTATTTTATTTTTTGCTAAAATTTAAGTTTTTATTAATTTTTAAAATTTTTTTAAAAATATTTATTTTTGTTAAAATTTAACTTTTTTTTATTTTTGTTAAAGTTTTTTTTAGTATTTTTGTAAATTTTACCTATTTTCCTGGGAATTTATACGGGAACTTATGGGAATTTTATCGAATTTACATGGGAATATTCGGGAATTTAAGGGAATATTAGGGAATTTTCTCTTGACCCCCCCCCCCCCTTGATTTTGGATTTTTGAAAAAATTGCCGTTTAAAAATGCAATAAAAATCTTACCCCACCCAATACCCCCCCAAGATTTTTCGAGAATTTTGTAAATTTTACCCCGGTCTACCCCCCCTAAAATCCAAAACCTTGCTTAACCCTGATATATACAAAATTAAATTACTTTATTTGATGCTTGATTTATAACTATTAATAACAAAAAAAATGTGTTGTATATGATAATATAGAAATATTGCTGTATATTTTTTATTACTAATCATCAATTTACAATAACAACACAAAAAATAAATAAATAATTTTATAATTTTATAATCTATGACATTTAATATCCTATTTTTTGTAGAAAATTTGGCATTAAATTTAAAAAGTAATTAATTAATAATGATACTTATTTACGAATTATAAACATTATCAGTCAATAATTATATTTTTAAAAATTATTATTATTATTATTACTATAATAAGTGTTATTTTTGTCATAAAACTGGAAATAACTTAAATGCCAATTTTTTAAATAAGTATACTGTAATCAATAATAGTCTATTTAAAAAAATGTGTGCTGGTTACTAAAAAAAGTTATAAATATTTAATACTGTATTTAAATTAAGTAGCAACTGTTTAAATAATTTTATTACAAGTTTTTATACAGTAAAATATTTGCTTTTATTTGACTAAATAATATTACACAAAAAAATTATAAAAGTTTTGATAACTTTTTTAAAATAATAATAATAATGAGATGATCAAGAATTTATATAAATATATCTATTTATAATAATATTATTATTATTATTAGCATTATTATAATAAAAACAAAATAATTTATTAATAGATTTTTTATAATTATTTTTTTAAACATACTCAAATTACTAAATGACAATTAGTGTTATTTTTAATAGTAATAAATAAAATAATAAACGATTTTTTTAAAATTAATTTTAATAGATTACATTTTTAAAAATATGTTTTTATGTTAAATAAAAATTAATTTTGATAAATAGATTTTATCACTTTTAATATTTTTACTACCTTGATACTATTACTATTTACTGGTATACTGTATATATATATATATATATTGTTATATATATTAAATAGATTTGTTATAGTGAATAAACTTTGGAATTTTTTTATAAATATATATATTTTTTGAAAAACTAGCATTTTTTTAAATATAAAATATTATTTATAATTAACAACAACAACAAAAGTTTTGTCTAAGTTTAAAATTATTATTATTATTAAATTACATTAATTTTTTTCGTGTTTTCGAATTAATTAATATCAACATAAAAAACTATATTTTTAAATAATTTTATTGATAATATCTAATTTAGTATTTATATTAAAAATTTTTAGTATTTTTATTTTTTTTCATTATTAGTTTATTGCTAAAGTGTGTCAATTTTATTGATATATCGTCTAATAATAATAATAATAAAGTTACTACTGATGTTAAATTACATATAATAATTTTGCATAATAATAATAAAGTAATAATAATAATAATAATTACAACTATTTATTATTAACTACCTAATTATTTATTATTAGATTATCTATACTTTTTTTATAAAGTATATCAGTTTTATATTAATAATTTTCATAACCTATTATTGTTTAATAGCCAATGAAAAAAATGATATGAAATATAACTTAAAAACTTTTTTTTTAATATAAATTTTATTATACATTGGACTTGGATTGAAAATTATTAAACTTTTATCTTTCTCTGTAGTAAATTGTATTTTTAAAAATTGTTTTATAACTTTTTTTTAATAATAATTTTTATTGTATATACAATCTTAATTACATTATAATAGTAACAGTTATTATTATAAATTATAATACAGTACTTTATAGTGTAGTTCATTGTAATTTATTTAGTAATAAATGCTTCATTACATCATTGATGATGATTAGTGTGTTATATATATATATAAAGATATAAAAAAAACTTACCGGTAATTAATTATATCACATAATAATAATAATATTAATTAATAAAATGTCAGTATTTAAACAATTTGTTTAAACATAATACAGTAACTCCTGTTATTGACAGTGAAATAAATATATTGAAGAAGAAAAAAGTTTTTATTTTATATTAATATTTATATATTTATTAACTTATTTTTTTAGTTATCAATTATTATTTTTTTTGTCGATATATTATATTAATTAAATTTTTTGTAACAATTTTTTTTGTGTATCAATTTGTGTGTCCAAAACTAAAAAAGTATTTTAAGAATCGATGAAATATATCAAAAATTTCGCGAAGTTATACAACAAAGACGAGAACAATAGCTATGAATACCACATCCGACACAACGATCCCTAAAACAGACGGCACTGACCATAACGGTTGTGTTGTCAGCGATGGCCAACAACATGAAGTTGTGGTCAACAATGACAACAACAACAACAACATCGACAACAATGAGGTGATCGACGATCATAATCATCATCAGGTGGTCATTGATGTGAATAATCTGAATAATAATAATCTGAATAATAATAATCTGAATAATAATAATACTAATAAAATTGTGGCCAAAGATATGACGGTTCTTAACAAACGCAACAACGAATTCAATGGCAGTAAAGATGTGGACAAAAAGTTTTCGGCAAAAAAAAAGTCTACGGATATCATCGGCAATAACACCATTCCTGGCAGTGATGGTAGTAATGGCAAAGTCTGTTACGATAATCCAGCTTTTATTGGGCTTAGTGTCCAAAATTTGGCCACAAATTCGGCGGCGTTGGCGACACCACCGACAACCAACATTTCAATTATCATATCGAGTAACGGTTTGTTGGACATGAGTGACAGTGGCCACCGAAGCCACCCAATTATTGAACAATCAATAGGCGGCGGTGGCGGCGGTTCGGACGACAACAATCATAAGAACAATCATTTGTCGTCGGCATCGTTGTCTTCGTCATCGCACGCCTACCGGCGCCGCGAACGGACACTGAGCGTTGCGTCCGTCATGAGTATTACCAATTCGCTGGCACCCGATCGCCGATACTCGCGACGCCAGTCAATTATACAGCGTAAAGTGGACGCCGCCGCCACCAGCGGTGGTGATGACAATCCCTTACGGCGTAAGATGTCGTTTATTAAGGAGACGGCCGGCGATGAGCCGCTCCGGACGGCGTTCATACAGATACTCATTGCCTCACTGTTTGCCGGTATTATTATTATTATTATTATTATTATTATTATTATTATTATTATTATTATTAGTAGTAGTAGTAGTAGTAGTAATAACAGCACAGTCCGGTGCTTATTAAGCCTAATATATTGTATTTTTAATAGGGTTCGGTAATGTCGGCGCCGGTGTCATAATTAATATAATCCAGAAATGGCGTGTATTTATTGAAGTCAAAGTTATGTTTGTATTGATACCGTCTCTATTGGGTCTGAAAGGTAATCTGGAGATGACAATGGCCTCCAGGTTGTCTACCGAAGCCAATATGGGACACATGGACAGCTGGGGTCGTACCATACGTATGATTGGCGGCGATATGGCTCTGGTCCAGTGTCAGGCTACGGTAGTATCGTTTTTGGCCGCTTTTGTGGCCATTGGCATCGACTTTGCCCGTACCCAAGAGTTTATTTGGCAGCACTTTCTGATAGTGACGGCCACAAGTGTCGTCACCGCCAATGTGGCCTGTTTTCTGTTAGGTAAGGTGTGTCCACATATATAGTCAGTGATAAAAAAATATGTATTATATTATTTCAAATTAAAAACAAAATAATCAATAGTTTTTAATTAATACCCTATAATAATAATAATAATAGGTTTGGTAATGGCATTTGTGATTGTATTTTCAAATAAAATTAATATTGACCCAGGTATGTTAAAACCTTAATGGTTAAATTTTTAAAAAATATATATATAATAAAAAAAATAAAAATATATTTTAGTTTTTAAATTTTTCAAAAAATAAAGTAATTTTTAATGTATTTATGTATGTATGTATAGACAACGTGGCCACACCTATAGCCGCATCACTGGGAGACGTGTCGACGGCCGCACTGTTTGCCTTTATATCCGAATGGATTTACGCGGATATTGCCGACAGTGGCGTACGTACGATACCGGTGTTGGCCATCGCCGGTATTGTCGTATTTCTAATACTGTTACCCGTATTCTATGTGATTGCCCGACGAAACTCGTTTACCCGCCGGCTGGTCCATTCGGGTTGGTTGCCGGTAATCATGGCCATGGTCATTTCGTCGGGTGGCGGCTTTTTTCTCGATTCGGCCGTCGACCGCTACGATCGATTGCCGCCGTTTCAGCCGGTTATTTGCGGTGTTGGCGGCAATTTGGTGGCCGTGGCCGCCAGCAAGATATCTACCCGATTGCATATGACAGCCATATTGGGTTCGATGCCATTTGGCGTCCATCGGATATCGTCGCCGATCGGCGTGTTTTTCAACAAACTGGGTATTCATTCATTTAATTTAATTATTTTTTTGTGTGTTTCCCCAAAATTTAAACTAATTTTGTTGTTTTTTATTGCTTATAATAATAATAATAATAGACATCAATACTAAACTGTGTCTACTATTGCTGTCGATGGCCATACCATTACAGTTGCTATACTCGCTGGTCATTTGGGGTATACAATCGGATGTTATTACCATAACGGCACCGTTGATACTGTTGTACGTAACGTTTGCTACGGCACAGGTATGCACAACGAGTTTAATACCGACAAACAAACACCAAAAAATTTTTTTAAAAATTTATTTAAATTGTTTCAAAAAAAACAAATAGGTTTTTGTATTACTGTTTGTCGGCTATAATTTGATTCATCTATTGTGGAGTTTCGCAATAAATCCCGATATGTCGGCCATACCCATAATGACAGCACTGGGCGATCTACTTGGATCGGCATTTTTGTTGATCGCTTTCGGCATACTTGAATCGATTGGCGATCCCAATGCCCGGCAACAAACTATAACTACTAATAGCACAGCTACCGATGCCATCAATATGACAACTACTACTGTCCTATCAATTATAGATGCTATAAATGGTACAAATAATTATCAATAGCTAATTAAATACAATAATTAATTAATTATGTAAATGATTAATAACTTAACTTGTTGAATAATTGGCTCTCTCCCACCCCATCCCTCCCCACCCCACCCCACCCCCCCAAAAAAATTATAGTAAATATATATTTACTATAATTACAGTATTTAAAATAATTTTATTGATCAAAAAAATAAATAAATTGTATAGTTTTTGATTAGAGATTATATTGTTATAAAAATTTAATGTTATTTTTTAAATTTATTTAATAACTATTTATTTTTAAATTTTAATAATAATAATTAATTAATTAATAAATATTAATGTTTTTATCAAGTTTATTTTTATTTAAATTATCATACTGTATACTACTAATAATTTTTTAATTAATAATTTTTTGAAGTTGTTTACTATGTTTGCGTGTAGTAAACTATATCTCATTTGTATTACTTTTTTTTTAAAAAATTAAATTTATTATAAACAAGTTCAATTGATTAATAATAAACAAAGTTGTTTTAATTTACGTTGTATATTAATACAATATTAATACACTGTACTTAAAATAGGACATTGGTACAGTTAAAATTTTTCAATAATAATAATAATAATTATAGCCAATCACACTGTAGAGCTACGCAATCAATTTAGTACAAGTACATTTGAGTACATTTATATATACAGTAATCATAAATAACGTTATCAATAAACAACATTGGGTAGATTAATGTATTATTTAAAAAATTTATTTAAAAAAATAATCATTTTTAATTTTTTTTAACCAAATAATAAGTTATGTAAATAGATTATAATAATATTGAATATTAAAATTATTATCAATGTATAAAAAAATAATAATAAACTTTTTTTTTAAATTTTTGTTATTTAACTAAAATATTAATTATTATCTACTATGTAGAATGCTTATACTGTATATAAAAAAAAGTTAAAATTGTTAGACAGTAAAATTTAATGTTAAGTCAAGTTTTTAGTTTATAATAAAAAAAAGGTACTATATAAATATTGGACGTATTTTATGGGCGTAACCATAGATATTAATAGTGTGTTTACTTTATTACTATATAATATTTATTATTATTTGTGTGTTTCAATTGAAGAAAATATAAAACTATTGACACAAACAAACTAATACAGTATTTCCTTCAAATAGTAAAATAATATTTTATATTTAATAATTATTTATGTTTTAATTATTATTTTAATTGTAATTTAAATAAAAATAATTTATTTATTTTTTAATAAAAAAGTTTACGTCTAATATTAATTAATTTAATTAAATTAATTTTTGTGTAAATAGAAAGTTACATTGATAAATTTAAAAAATAATAATAATATTTGACATAAAGTTATCGTTTATTTTTTAAATTTATTAATAATTTTAATTAATTTATATTTTGTTGTAAGTATTGTTAATATATATCAATTTAATGTCAATGACCTCTATATATATATATACATAACATAACACTTAATACAGTTATGTTAGACCACGTGTTGGTTCATATCATTAGTGGACACACTTAATGATGACCTCACGGCTCGGATCGGCATTGACTGACCAAATGATTGCCTGAAAAAAAATTATATAAATTTTATATATTGTGTCCACTTTTTTCTCATGTGTTTGTGTATGTGTCCGCATAGATCCTCTCAATCGCCGCCGCCGAGACAAAATGCTGGCCATATATCGGTTAAAAAACGGTTTCGGCCGACTGTCGCCACTTGTCTTAAACAACGCCACGACAACAACAACAACCCGAGGTGAGTGTTGACCGCACACCCGACCCTCGACAGCAAATGTCTGATATTACTATTTGTCCATTACTTTCAATTAGGCGTTCAATCGTCGGTCCCGAAAACTACCGAAGAGACACCGAAATCATCGTCGAAGGCCACCACTAGTACTACTACTGCCGACCGAAAACGACATACACACGATTCGTCATCGTTTGTGATGAACCTGTTCTGCGGCGAAGGCAAAGTTGTCCAACAGTTTCCCTATCCGCAGGTATTGTCCACTGAGGACATCCAGATTGTCGATATGGTTACCGAACCGTTGACCAAAACGTGGACAACTGAGGACGCCATACGCTACGAAGATGCCATGGTCTACGATGACAAGCTATGGCAGCGGCTGAAAGATATGGGTTCGTTTGGTATACAAGTGCCGCCCGAATACGGCGGTATGGGCGCCAATGCTACACAGTTTGCCCGATTGGGCGAAATTATGGGCCGATACGATCTGAGTCTTGGTGTTGTTTTGGGCGCCCACCAGAGTATTGGTTTCAAGGGTATACTATTGTTCGGTACTGACCAGCAAAAACAGAAATATCTGCCCGATTTGGCCGCCGGTAATCGGATTGCCTGTTTCTGTTTGACGGAACCGTCGGCTGGTATGACACGACTCCTGTTATATCTATATATAAGAGGAATTGATTTGATATTTATTTTTGCTAATCAAACGATAGGTTCGGACGCCAGTGGTATCAAAACAAAGGCCGTGTTGTCAGCCGACGGCAAACACTATATACTAAACGGATCGAAGATTTGGATTTCGAACGGCGGTATTGCCGATGTATTTACCGTTTTTGCCAAAACACCGGTCAAAGCGGCGGACGGTACGGTTAAAGAAAAGGTTACGGCATTTATTGTCGAACGAGGACCTGGGCTGACGTCGGGTCCGCCGAACAAGAAAATGGGTATCAAAGCGTCCAATACTACCGAAGTTTTCTTCGACAACGTCAAAGTGCCAGTGGATAACGTATTGGGCGAAGTGGGCGGCGGTTTTAAAGTTGCAATGAATATACTGAACAACGGCCGGTTCGGTATGGCCGGTGCTCTCAGCGGTAGGTTCTCACTCTAATATTAGTTTATTATATATAGGTTATTATTTTTTTAATTTATAATTTATTTATGTTGTCCCCCCCCCCATAATCTACAGGTGCAATGCGCACGTGTATCGAAAAGGCGACCGAACACGCGACCACACGGACACAGTTCGGCAATAAGATATCGACGTACGGAACGATTCAGGAAAAGATTGGCCGAATGTCGATTAGTCATTACGTTACCGAATCTATGGCCTATATGTTGAGGTAGTCTCAGTTCCGCAGCCGATAGTAAAGAAAGTGACCATAAGTTTAATTAATTAATTGTTATTTTTATTATTGTTGTTATTATTAATTGCCAGCGGTATTATGGATAAAGGATTTGCTGATTATCAGTTAGAGGCGGCCATCAGTAAAGTTTATGCATCGGAAGCGGCCTGGTTTGTCTGCGATGAGGCCATACAGATATTGGGCGGTATGGGCTATATGAAGGAAACGGGACTCGAAAAGATATTGAGAGACACCCGAATATTTAGGATATTCGAGGGAACTAACGATATATTAAGACTATTTGTTTCACTAACCGGTAAATTATTAGTATTATTATTAGAGAGAGAGAGAGAGAGTATGACCTGAAAAATGATTATTAAAATTAAAACTGTATTTTTTCAGGTGTACAGTACGCCGGCGGCCATCTAAAGGAACTGCAGCGGGCAATGAACAATCCGGTGGCCAATTTGGGTATGATTTTCGGCGAAGGAACCAAACGATTTGCCCGATCCGTAGGCTTGTCGTCGGGTCCGTCGCTGGCCGAGTACGTTGATCCGCAGCTACGGGACAGTGCGGCACAGGTATCGAAAAGCATACAAAACTTTGGCGCATCTGTCGAACATTTGCTCATCAAATACAATAAAAACATAATACACGAGCAAATACTGTTGCGCCGGTTGGCCGACGCGGCCATCGATATCTACGCTATGGTTGTGGTATTGTCGCGAACTACCCGTGCGCTCAACAAGAATCTCAACAGCGCTAACATCGAGAAGAATATATGCGATGTCTTCTGTTCAGAGGTAATGAAAAAGAGATAATAGTTGTTATTACTGTTGTTTTAATTTTATGTGTCGGTGTAGGCATCGGATCGTATTGTCGATAACCTGAGCAGTTTGAGGGCCAGCCCTAAGCTAAGAAACTACGAGTCCCTGAAACTGATAGCCGACGAGGTGTTCAGCAACGGCGGTGTCGTACAGAATCATCCATTAGATCCATAGATATATATATTTATAAATATTGGCACATATTTTCATATTAAATAAATAATTAGTAATTATTAATATTATTATAATTTTTTATAAAATAAAACTATTTTGAGAACTACTTTAATTACCCTTTAAAAAAATGTTAAAATAATAATAATACCGATAAATAATATTTTTATTATCTATTGAGTGAATTGAATGCAATTTATTATTATTGTTTTTGTTTTTATTGTATCAAAACATTATAAAATAATTATTTTTAATAATTTGTTTGTTAAATAAATTACTAGTTATAATTAACAGTAAATAAATGTTTCTATAATTAGTAATAATGATTTATTATTTATATATTATATATCTGATGTTTTACTGGTTTTTTAAATAAAGTTTTTTTTATGATTATATTATATAGTTTTTTTTTAAAAAAGTTATCTTAAATTTGAATTGATTTAATAAAATACATTATTCATATTAATTAAATAATTAAATTACTACCCATAATAATAATAATAAATAATTTTAATTATACTATAATAATAGTGAATTATATAAGTTATTATAATTTAGAGAAATTATTCAATATTTTATAACGTTTTTATTATTTTAATAGTTTATTATATAAAAAGTAAAAATTATTAATTTTATTTATCAGATAAAACAATATTATTTATATTTTTAAAAAGATTATATAATATTTTTAGTATATAGGGTAAATATCTAACGTAATTGTAAACTATTATTATATTATTTTAATTATTTGTAATAATTTTGAAAAATTTAATATTTTACTAGAATACCAATTTATATATTATAATAAATATACTGAATATCAATTTAATACTTTAGAATTAAAATAAAAGTTATTGTAATTTGATATTTTAAAATAAATTTAACTTAATAATACTATATAAGTTATAGTATAACCATTTAGGGTGATTCCGGTGTACCACTGTTACAATACATCAATGTTAGGGCAGTGCTAATTGATTTGGTTCAGGCTATTATAAGCTCAATTTTTTTAGTGAAATCCATGAAAAGCCCAATCTTTTGTATGTCAGGCCAAACATATTGAATGGATTATACAAATTGTTGGTCAATAATAACAACAACAAAAAACAAACAAATAATTTATTAAAAATTTTATTATATAAAATAATTATTTAAAGATATTTAAGTTTATATGATTTTTAAAAATAAACAATAATCAAATAGAATTTTTACTTATTGTTCGAAAAATCTTATTTAACTATCTAAATATATTAGAAAATAAATAATCTATTAATAATATTAATATACATATTAATATATATAGTTATATATAGGTAATCTAAATATCAAATTACTTTAAATAAATTTTATTTCTATGTTTTATATTAAATTATTACATTATCAATAATAACATTTTGAAAAATTATAGCTTTTAATATTTGAAATGCTATTTTTGTAAGTTATTAATAATTATATACACAATGTGTATTACACATATACAGGTAATTTAATACTAAAATAACAAAATAAATTATTTTTTTCACTATATTATTACAAATTTAAAGATATTGAACTTTTTATTAACTTTTATTATAAAAATTCATATTAAATAAAATAGTATTAATTATTTTATAGTATTATCTGTAATAAAATACAATAAAATATTTCCATTATATCATATTTTATACATAATGTCATTATTAAAAATGTTTATTAGTATAAAATCTATTTAAATACAAAAAATTTAAGTAATTGTATTTATAAAAATATTTTAGCTATTAATCAATGAAAATCAATTGATATTAAATGTAATAACATTTATAATGTTATTAACATTTTATTGTAAGTCAATTGAATTTAATTAAGATATCATTCATTAATAATTTATAATAATATCTATAGTATTGTTGAATGTATTGTTGTATGCAATGAGTGTTTCATCGGTTGTTCATTCAGTGATCAAACACTACCCGAATGTAACACTCATTGATTGTGGTGTCGGACGGGAATCACTACTAATGACCGGTCAGTGCTTACACTCATATGATTGGACCAAACCTATTGAAAACGGTAGACAACTGGAAACGGCAGAAATGCCATGGATTGTCTTTATTATAGTCAATAGAAATAAGACGTATATATAAAAAATATTTTATTTTATTTAACTTTAATTTTTTTATAAGTTTCAAATATAAATTAAATGTAAATATTATAAATAATATATTATTATACACATAATTGTGATAAAACGAGAAATAATTAACTTTTAGTTTAATTTTAAATTAATTATTGAAAATAAAATTATAAACAATTATAAGAGGAATTTGCCGAAAGAGGATATTATTAACACAAACGATGAGTTGGCACTGATTGCCGGTTACGGGGCTATCAATGATATGACAAATCTTAATGGTAGACCACATATGGGTTGGTTGAAGATTATTAAACCCCGGTTCGATAGCAACGATTCTAACGGAACTATGATTCTTGCGGTTCGCACACCGGGAGGTTCATTCACATGCATTGTATATGATTTTTAAAAAAATTATATTATAAATAGAGTTGAGGACAACTTTACAAGAAAATAATGTTCCCTAAATATAATGCATTCCATGATTTATTTAGAAAATATTCCCTTCCTTTAATTGTTAGAAAGAAAAATATATTTTATATTATTATTATTATTATTACATTAAATAGGAGTAAAACTCAAATATTAACCAACTTTAATTATTATATGATTAGTATAGTTAGGTACCTGAGCTCACACACACTCAAATACTTTCATTTATTACACTCAAAAATATAGGGTGATTCCGGTGGACCACTAATACAGTACATCAATGGTAGGGCAGTGCTAATTGGTATAACTCAAGGAGGAAAACAATCAAAATATTGCAGTGAATTGAATCAAACACCCAATGAATGGGTATTTTTTGTACGTCTGGCCAAACATATTGAATGGATTAAACAAATTATTGGTCAATAATTGACTTGATTTTCTAAATCAAAATCTATAATAAATATATTAATATATTAGTTATTTTGGTATTGTATCGCATTTATAGTATAATAATTGTAAGCTTTTTAAAAATTGTTTTTTTTATTATCATGTGGTTTGAATTGATTAAGTATTAAAAATTATAGAAATTTTTTAATTTATTGTATTAATTATTTTTTTAAAAATAAAGATTACATTATTAACAATTAGATTGTCTGAAAAACAACTGAATCACTGAATATAGAGTATATTATGACGACATTTAAGACATCAATCATTTAACAGATTATTAAATAATTAACGAGTATTTCATTTCAATTAAGTTTTAAGATAATTGTATTAAATAGTGTTATTAATTCATATTAATTAATAAAATTTATAGTTATATGTATAAATTTTTTATTTACATTTTTTAAAAATAATAATTATTTTATCATAACTATCTAATTACTAGTTATTTATTTAATAAACTTAATTTAAATAATTATTGATTTACATAAAATTCTAGATAATTATGATATTATGATAACACATATTAAATAATCAATTAAAACATTAATTTAATAACTAATTTTCAAATATTACAAAAAAATATTTAAACTGTTTAAATTAAAATGCTTATTTTTAAAAATGGTTTAAAAGTTCTTTATTTGTTTTTTTATCAATTATTGATAATTTTAAGTTTAATACTCTTTTATTATTTATATGATTTTTTAAAAATAAATAAATAATAATTTTTTTAAATGCATTAAAAGTTTAATATATTAATAATAAATAATAATTTAATATTATTGTTATTATCTGTAATATAATACTATGATATTAGAAAAAAAAATGTTAATACTATATTTAATATTTAAAGTAACAAAATTTATTTTATTAAAGATTTATTAATATAAAATCTATTAAAATAAAAAAATATTGCATAACTAGTTTAACTATTATCAATCAATTAAATTTAAATGTTTTAGAATATAATTACATTTATAATATTAGAATAATAGTTTATAACATTTTTATAACAGTTTATAGTAAGTTATTTTGGATAAATTTATATTTTAACAAATAATTTTATAATTAGATAATTACATTAAATATAATACTTTACATAATAGTTTTGTTTCTTATAGTATTATCTGTAATAAAATACAATAAAATTTTTCCATTATATCATATTTTATACATAATGTCATTATTAAAAATGTTTATTAGTATAAAATCTATTTAAATACAAAAAATTTAAGTAATTGTATTTATAAAAATATTTTAGCTATTAATCAATGAAAATCAATTGATATTTAATGTAATACTATTTATAATGTTATCAACATTTTATTGTAAGTCAATTGTATTTAATTAAGATATTATTCATTAATAACAATATATATTAATAAACTTATAATAATATCTATAGTATTGTTGAATGTATTGTTGTATTCAATGAGTGTTTCATCGGTTGTTCATTCAGTGATCAAACACTACCCGAATGTAACACTCATTGATTGTGGTGTCGGACGGGAATCACTACTAATGACTGGTCAGTGCTTACACTCATATGATTGGACCAAACATATTGAAAACGGTAGACAACTGGAAACGGCAGAAATGCCATGGATTGTCTACATTGATGTCAAAAAAAATAAAACGTATATATATAAATATTTTTATTTTATCTAACTTTAATTTTTTTTATAAGTTTCAAATATAAATTAAATGTAAATATTATAAATAATATATTATTATACACTTGTGATAAAACGAGAAATAATTAACTTTTAGTTTAATTTTAAATTAATTATTGAAATTAAAATTATAAACAATTATAAGTTATTAATAAATATTAAAATAGAATTAATTTTTAATTATATTTCTTGCAATATATTTATGTTTATTTTATCTAAAATCTTAATAAATAAATAAATAAATGAAATTGTTTTATATATATATATCAGGGTTGCGAAAGGTTTTCGATCTCAGTGGGTATAGGGGGTATAATGGCAAAAATCTCGAAAAAGCTTGGGGTGTGGGGGGTGACCAAATTTTAT